CGCCTCTTCCCCTACCGCACTCCTTCCCTCCCCCCTTCGCCGGACTTCCTTGTGCCGGTCCCCCCCCCGGTAGACCCCCTCCCCCCTCAGGTTCCTGCCCCCTCAGGTGTGTCCCAGGTAGACGCAGTTGACCCGGTCGAGGTTACTGGTGACTCTGGGGCTGCTGCGGGTGCTGAGCCTGGGGGTGCTAACTCTGGGAGTGCTGAGCCTGGGGGTGCTGGGCCTGGGGGTACTACTGCGGAGGGTGCTGAGCCGGGGGGTGCTGTGCCTGGAGCTGCTGAGCCTGGGGGTGCTGAGTTGGGAGCTGCTGAGCCTGGGGGTGCTGAGCCTGGGGGTACTACTGCGGAGGGTGCTGAGCCGAGGGGTGCTGTGCCTAGAGCTGCTGAGCCTGGGGGTGCTGAGTTGGGAGCTGCTGAGCCTGGGGGTGCTAAGCCTGGGGTTTCTCTTGCTGCTGCGTCTCGACGGGAGCCCCTCTCTCCACAGGAGCTGCGCGAGTGGTTTGCTCGCCGCTGGAGGCGTGCTGCTGGAGCTGGAGCTTCTTCGACCGTCGAGGGTGCTGGTGCTGCCGGTCCCGGAGCTGCTGGGCCTGCGGGTCCTCCTGGAGCTGGAGCTGCTGAGGGTGTTGGTGCTGAGACCACTGCTGTCTGTCCTCGCGGTGGTTCTGCTGCTGGTACTGCTGGAGGTCCTGCCGCTGGAGGTGTTGGTGGCGCTGGTGATGTCGCTGAGGGTGCTGGTGCTGTCCCTGCTGGGTCTGGAGCTGCCGCGCGGCCTCGGCCGTACTTCGTTCCGCTCCTGCAGCAGGTTCTTGGTCTTTCTCCTCCGGTAGAGTGTCTACAGCCTGTCCAGTCGCAGTCACTGTTGGAGCCTTCCTCTCCTCTGCCAGCTCCCTCTCCTTACACTGGTCCTACTAGAGGTCTTGCTGAGCGTCGTGAGCCTGCGTCTCGTCCCGCGTCGCCTGTTCGTGCTGCTCGCGCTAGTGGTCGCGGTTCGCGTCAGCGTCCTGCTCCTGTCCCTGGCACGCACCGGATGTCTCTGCGTCCGTCCACTGCTCCTCTGCGTGCCCCTTTGCCTTCTCCTCCTGAGTCCTCTCTTCCTGCGCTTGCCGACCCTGAGTCGGACTCTCTTCGTGCTGCCAGTCCTACTGTCACGCGTCTCCTTGCTACTCTCGTCACTCACCCCTCGTTTGAGTCCACTGCTGCGTCTGCTCTTGTCGCTGAGCTCGTCGACTTTGCTGCTCGCTGTCGTCTAGACTACGCTGCTAGTCTTGTTGCTGAGTCTGCGTCTGTCTGTCCTCCGTCCGTCGGGGGTGAGTGTGCTCTTGGCACGGACGTCCTAGAGGACAGGCAGGAGGAGTTACAGTGTCTTGCTGCTGCTTCACCTCATCTCGCGTCTGTACTGCTTGCTCCTAAGGGAGACCCGGATGCACTAGACATCCCGACTCCGCGCTCTTACGCGGAGGCCGTAGAGGGTCCCTACTCGTCTCAGTGGCAGGCAGCTATGGATGCAGAGATGGCTTCCTGGAAGTCCACAGGCACCTACGTTGACGCTGTTCCCCCTCCTGGGGCGAACATCGTCAGTGGCATGTGGATCTTCCGGGTGAAGCGGCCGCCGGGCTCTCCATCTGTCTTCAAGGCGCGGTACGTTGCTCGTGGCTTCAGCCAGCGGCAGGGAGTTGACTACTTTCAGACCTTCTCTCCCACCCCGAAGATGACCACTCTTCGGGTGCTGCTGCACATAGCCGCTCAGCGCGACTACGAGCTTCACTCTCTCGACTTCAGCACTGCGTTCCTGCAGGGTAGCCTGCACGAGGAGATCTGGCTGCGCCGTCCACCTGGCTTCACTGGGACTTTCCCTCCTGGCACCCAGTGGAGCCTCCGACGGCCAGTCTACGGTCTCCGCCAGGCACCGCGTGAGTGGCACGACACACTGAGGACTACGCTTGCGGCCCTTGGGTTTGCTCCGTCTACTGCTGACCCGTCGCTGTTTCTGCGCACCGACACTTCACTGCCGCCGTTCTACATCCTCGTGTACGTCGACGACTTGGTCTTTGCCACAGCGGACACTGCTGGACTCGCCTACGTGAAGTCCGAGCTGCTGAAGAGACACACGTGCACAGACCTGGGTGAACTGCGCAGCTACCTTGGCTTGCAGATCACTCGGGACAGAGCACGCCGCACCATCACCTTGACTCAGTCACACATGGTGCAGCAGGTCCTTCAGCGCTTCGGCTTCACGTACTCCTCGCCTCAGGCCACTCCTCTGTCTACTCGCCACTCACTCTCAGCTCTGCCTTCGGATGAGTCCGTAGAGTCGAGTGGCCCGTACCCAGAGCTTGTTGGCTGCCTCATGTACCTGATGACCTGCACTCGACCTGACCTTGCATACCCTCTGAGCATTCTTGCACGCTATGTTGCTCTTGGGAGACACCGACCAGAGCACATGGCTGCAGCGAAGAGGGTATTGCGCTACCTGTGCAGTACGTCGGGCATGGGGCTAGTGCTTGGAGGGCGGAGTCCAGTGGTCCTTACAGGCCACGCGGACGCTTCTTGGGCTGACGACCAGGCTACGCAGCGGTCGTCACAGGGTTACACCTTCAGTCTTGGTTCCGGCTCTGTCTCTTGGCGGTCTACTCGTTCGTCTTCGGTTCTCAGCTCCAGTTGTGAGGCTGAGATCTACGCCGGGGCCATGGCTGCACAGGAGCTTCGCTGGCTCACCTACCTGCTGACTGACCTTGGAGAGCCGCCTCGTTCTCCTCCTGTGCTGTATGTAGACAACAAGGCCATGCTGGCCTTGTGTCGAGAGCAGCGCTTGGAGCACAGAACGAAGCACATTGCTCTCCGTTACTTCCTTGCTCGTGAGCTGCAGCAGCGTGGTCAGTTGCGACTTGCGTACGTGGCCTCTGAGGCCAACACTGCTGATGTGTTCACCAAGGCACTCGCGCCTTGTGACCATCAGCGCTTCTGCACCCAGCTGGGTCTTGTGCCTGTCTTGCCTCACTTGCTCTCTTCTTGACTTTACTTGTACTGTGACATATATATACCTGCTCCTGCTTGTCTAGTGTTATATATATGTGTGTACTCCTGCATGTGAACTGGCCTCTGGCCCTGCTCTTGTGCTCGGACTATGTGGTGACTTTGTGATCCACCCTGAGCTTGCTTTGCTTTGCTTTGCTTGACTGGTCTTGTGACCCCTTGTTCTCCCCCACTTTGCCTATGGGGGTGTGTCAGATTATTATAGCTGATGCATGTTTGTAGGCTATAGTGGGGTAGCACATATGGGGTACAGCTTTCTAGGGTTGTATTTGTACCCAACCCTGACTTAGTCATTTTCATTCCTGGTCATTTGTTTCACAGATATGTCATCTAGGAAAAGCTGGGTTGGGTTGTGCATATTAGGTTGACGTTTTCTGGTTTGATTGGATATGCTGACGTGTACAGAATGGACGGTGTGGATAGGTTGAGAAATGACAGCAACAACCATGATTGGTTGTTAAATATTTCCCAGAATGACACGTCACACTTCCAAAGGAATCAGCAATCGAGTTTGTTTCGGGTTGGGTGGTTCTGGCTCTGAGTATCTGGTTTCCGAAAGCTTGGTATCCAGGTTTGCAACCTCGTTAAATTTCGTCATATTGTACGGTTTTCGTGAATCTTGTTGTTACACCCGAAAATTGATGTAACTTTTCCTAACCGCTAGTTATCGCGTTCGACCGTGCGAAACCTTATGCCCGACGTTGAAGTCACTTTCGATTGACTTTTTGGCACCAGTGTTCATGTAGGCCAACGATGTACGGAAAGTTGCGATTTGGGGTCGTCATTTTTTGGACACTTCGCGCAAGAAAACCACAAACTTTTCGCAGAAAAACCTTCGGACCCCCAAAATCGCAATTTTCCTTTTCCGCGATGAAGTTAGCTCTCCAGAGACGGAGGGATAAAAGCGGAGCTATGATGGACCCTTGTTAGTCAGAAATTCGTTGAGCTTACCTGGTTCATTATACTTGAGTTAGCCATACCATTCATTTCAATCTGCCGCTGACTTACCTTCGCCAACAAGCGCAGACTCGTTAACATTATGAGGACTTACATCAAGCTCCTGATCGTGGCGGTTCTCGCCGCCCTCCTCGTCTCTGCCGGTGAGTCGCTCGCTGATTCAAGATAACTGATGTTAATCTTTTTTAACAGACCGACAATTCTCGTTTGGCTTCTGACAACCTCTGTCGAAGTGAATTCTCGTCTTGTTCACCTCGTCTCACGGGTCACCTTTCATTGACGCGGTTGTTGTGGGGTTGCTGCTGTTTCTGTTTGCTACTAATACTCGTCCTCCATTTTCCTTCCATGTCTTCCTAGTATGGCTGCGAGCGTTTGCCGAAAGGGAAAGGCGAAGTCGTTGTCAAAATCGACAACCTGTGTGGTCGTATTTGCGAAGTACTATAAGAACGACCCTTCGCTCTTCCTGAAGTACAACGGCTACACGTGTCAAGGCCGCCTTAAGTCCAACTTCATCTGTCTGCCGTAGCTCGGGTGGATAGCATAATGTCAGACGGGCCTTCAGTTTGACTGCCTTTGCAGGCAGGTCATGCATGGCAGACGTGTGGCTCCCGCTTTCGAGTTGTACGATTATACTGCAATTAGCAACAGCAACAGCTAGTGGTGCTCACAATGATTGGGTTGGGATATAAACACAGACAAGCAGAGTTCAAATATCCTCTTCAATCCCAAAGTGCATTCTTATTCAAATTCTTACCATGATAACTAGCTATTCAAACTTGGGGTTCACGTCCCAACACGAGTCACTCCAAATATATCAGGTATAGAATAGGGGAGTAGGGGAGGTGGAGGGGTGGGGGCGGGTGGGGAAAAGATGGCTTTGAGTCTATTTTTTGGTAGTTATGTCGAGTCAGTTCAGAAGGGAGGGGTGGGATGGGGAAAGGAGAGGATGGCGCCTCATTACGATGCCGATCGCCTGCTTGGCGGGTCATCAGATCCCCAGCCACTCCTGAGATGCATGTGGGGGGTAGGGGGAGGCAGGCAAGGGGGAAGATTGGGTGGGAGGGGCAGGGGGAAAGAGGCAAGGGGGAAATGGGTGAGAGAGGCATGGGGGAAGGAGGCAAAGAGGAAGGAGCAAAGGTGGGAATGGGTGTGAGAGGCACGGGGGGAGGAGGCAAAGAGGAAGGAGCAAAGGGGGGAATAGGTGTGAGGGGCACGGGGGGAGGAGGCAAAGAGGAAGGAGCAAAGGGGGGAATGGGTGTGAGGGGCACGGGGGGAGGAGGCAAAGAGGAAGGAGCAAAGGTGGGAATGGGTGTGAGGGGCACGGGGGGAGGCAAAGGCCCGCCGATGGGTGCGAGGGTGAGGGGGGAAGAAAGCAAGGGGGAAGGAGGAAGGGGAAAGATGGGTGTGAGGGTGAGGGGGGAAGAAAGCAAGGGGGGAGGAGGAAGGGGAAAGATGGGTGTGAGGGGCAGGGGGGAAGTAGGGAAGCGGGAAGATGGGTGCGAGGGGAAGATGGGTGTGAGGGGAAGATGGGTGTGAAGGGCAGAGGGGAAAGAGGCAAAGGGGGGGATGGGTTTGAGGAGCAGGGGGGAAGGAGGCACAGGGGGAAGATGGGCGTGAGTGAGGGGCAGGGGGGAAGAGGTCAGGGAGCGCGAGCGCAATGTACAGCACCAACCGAATTCTGAGGCGTCTCAACAGGCGCGAGCGCAATGTACAGCACCAACCGACTTCTGAGGCGTTTCAACAGGCGCGAGCGCAATGTACAGCACCAACCGACTCGCCGCCAAATTCTCGTACCTCCTCTCGGGGCAATGGTCACCTCATACCACCCCTGCCCGGACTTTGGGGGGTGAGGGGAGGGGGGGAAGAGGATAACACTTGAGTCGACTTGGAAGGTGGTCGTGTTGAGTCAGTTCTAAAAAGTAGGGTGGGCGGGGAAGGAGAGAAGATGAAGCCATCACAATGCCAAAGGTCTCGCGGTGGGCCATCAGATAAGGAGGCAAGGGAGAAGACGGGTGTGAGGGATTGCGGGGGAAGGAGTCAAAGGGAAGACGGGTGTGAGGGATTGCGGGGGAAGGAGTCAAAGGGAAGACGGGTGTGAGGGATTGCGGGGGAAGGAGTCAAAGGGAAGACGGGTGTGAGGGATTGCGGGGGAAGGAGTCAAAGGGAAGACGGGTGTGAGGGATTGCGGGGGAAGGAGTCAAAGGGAAGACGGGTGTGAGGGATTGCGGGGGAAGGAGTCAAAGGGAAGACAGGTGTGAGGGATTGCGGGGGAAGGAGTCAAAGGGAAGACGGGTGTGAGGGATTGCGGGGGAAGGAGTCAAAGGGAAGACGGGTGTGAGGGATTGCGGGGGAAGGAGTCAAAGGGAAGACGGGTGTGAGGGGCAGGCGGGAACGAGGCAAGGGGGAGATGGGTGTGAGGGGCAGGGGGGAAGGAGGCAAGAGGAAAGGGATGCGTGCTGCCGCACCGCATCTCTGCTGGGCTGAGTGCTGCCGCACCGCATCTCTGCTGGGCTGAGTGCTGTCGCACCGCATCTCTGCTGGGCTGAGTGCTGCCGCACCGCACCGCATCGCTGCTCAGCACATTGATAAATCCCGAGCCTCCACGTCCCAACCATCAACGACCTAATCCCGAGCCTCCACGTCCCAACCCTCAACGACCCAATCCCAATCCTCCATGCTCCGCCTGCATCCCCAACTTAACCCCCTCGTTACATGACACACGCTGCACCGTTTTGCTTACGTGAGTCTCTGACGGTTAAAATCAAGTCCCTGTCGGACGGCACAAACCTCAAGACCCCACACCTGCACGCCTGCACGCCCGCACGTCCCCATAACCCATTCACCCCTTCAAAGCATCCACATCCCGACTCTATGTCCGAAGCCCAAATGCGTGGCGAGCTCTCAGTTGGGCGAGACGATGGCAACGCGCGTGCTGTACTGGGCATGAATGGATTCATGAACATGTGAAGCATATCAAACGCCATTGCGCTCCGCATTCCTAGCAGCATTCCCCGCCTTCCCCGCATCCCTTCCAGCATTCCCGGCCTTCCCCGCCTCCCTCGCAGTATTCCCCGCCTTCCCCGCCTCCTCGCCGCATTCCCCCCCTTCCCCGCCTTCCCCGCCTCCCTCGCAGCATTCCCCGCCTTCCCCGCCTTCCTCTCAGCATTCCCCGCCAACCTCTCCTTTCCCTTTCCTTCCGCCTTATTCCCCTCCCGTCCCTCACGCGCTACTTACCCTTTCATTTCGGTCTTCTTCTTTCCTTCCTTCATCATTCCACCGCCGCCGCTCTTGCCCTGACCTTTTTTTCAGGCAATTAAACCCTCGCGATGTCAGAACATATATGTAGCTTATGCTGTTGTGTAGGCTACAGTGGGGTATCCCATAGGGGGTACAACCCAATTAGGGTTTTGCTATTTGTACTCACTTCACTCATAGTTCATTCATTCTCGTTCTATTTTCCACATGGTATCGAGCAGGTTCCCCCGTGGGAACTGTGCTTAGGGCCCACCACTTTTAAACTTTTCTTTCTGCCCGGAGCGCGCTCCGGGCCCTCGCTCTCACTCTTTCGGCCTGCCCTGCGGCCCCCTAGCCGCCCCCGCGCGCCCGTTCAGGCCCCTAGCCGCCCGCGCGCCGCCCGTCCCGGCCCTTAGCCGCCCGCGCGCCGCCCGTCCCGGCCCCTAGCCGCTTGCGCGCCGCCCGTTCAGGCCCCTAGCCGCCCGCGCGCCGCCCGTCCCGGCCCCTAGCCGCTCGCGCGCCGCCCGTTCAGGCCCCTAGCCGCCCGCGCGCCGCCCGTCCCGGCCCCTAGCCACCCGCGCGCGCCCGTCCCGGCCCCTAGCCACCCGCGCGCGCCCGTCCCGGCCCCTAGCCGCCCGCGCGCGCCCGTCCCGGCCCCTCACCGCCCGCGCGCCGCCCGACCCGGCCCCAAGCCGCCCTGTGCCGCCCGCCCCGGCCGCGCTCTCCTGTCTCGGCCCCTCGGCGCCAGGACGCCGCCCGTCCTGGCCCCTCACCCGTCCCGGCCTCACACCGCCCGTGCGCCGCCCGTCCCTGCTGCACGCCACCGTCCCGGCCTCCCACGCCGCCCGTTAGCCGCCGTGCAGCCTGAGCCGCCCGAGCCGTCTGCGCAGCTGAGGAGCCGAGCCGCCCGAGCCGCCTGTGCCGCTGACTGCCCGAGCTGCCCGAGCCGCCTGAGCCGCCCGAGCCGCCCGAGCCGCCTGCCCCCCCCCCCCCCTTTTCCCGTCGCCTGTCGAGGCGACCTGAGGGGGCCGCTTGCTGAGGGGTGGCAGGTGTGTGGTCTCCCCTGCTTCTCCTCCTCCTTCGTCTCGAGCCGCCCTGCAGCCGAGCCGCCTCGCCGCCGAGCTGCTCTACACCCGAGCCTCCCAGCAACCGAGCCGCCCTGCAGTCGAGCCGCTCTACACCCGAGCCTCCCAGCAGCCGAGCCGCCCTACAGCCGCGCCGCCGGGTCGCCGAGCTGCCGAGCTGCAGTTGCTGCCGAGCCGCCCTGCCGCCGAGCCGCCCGAGTCGCCCGAGCCGCAGAGCCGCCGTGCTGCCGAGCCGCTGAGTCGCCGAGCCTACTCTACCCACCACTGGTGAGCCCCTGCCCTGCTAGCACGCTGCGCGTCGCCTGCTTGCCTGCCTGCCTCCCTTTTGGCTTGCCTGGCTGCCTGCCTTACTACTGCTACTCCTGCTCCTGCCTCTACTCGTGGCGGCCAGATGCAGCTCCCGCGACCCCCCCGCGCGTCTCTCATGCCTCAGCAGCTTCGTGAGTGGTACGCTCAGAGTAGGGGTCTCTCAGTTGTGTTCGCTGCTCTTACGTGATTCTCACTGGTGCTCGGACTGGTCAGCCTTGTGGGACACCTGGTCATACACAGTCCCGCTGCTTCGCCCATCTGAGCGACGCCTAGCGTACCGTGTTTGGCGACGAGGCTGAGCTCCCCGACTGGGTGGAGTTGCTTAGGCAGAGGGTAGATATATTTGCTCTTGACTATGATGCTATTCTCACTGCCATGTATGCATTGCCTACTAGTGCTGACCGTGCCGGTCACCTGTGCGTACCGCCTGACCCGGGTATAGGACCTGCTGCTCTAGCTACTGGTGAGGCTGCTGCTGCTCTGGGTGCTAGTGAGTCTCCTGCTTCAGGTACAGGTGCGGCTGCTGCTCTAGGTGCTAGTGAGTCTGCTTCCTCAGGTGCGGGTGAGGCTGCGCTCTCAGGTACCGCGTTGGCTTTGGCCTCCCTCACCTTTACACTTGACTCTGGGGCTTCTCGCTCCTTCTTTCGGGACCGCACCACACTCACGCCGCTTGGTCGGCCGGTTGCAGTCTCCCTGGCTGACCCCTCTGGGGGTCCTGTCCTCTCTCACTTTTCCACTGTCCTCCCGTGTCCGGCTGCCCCCTCGGGCACCCTGTCTGGCCTGTACCTCCCCTCGTTCTCGACGAACTTGGTGAGTGGTGCAGACCTGCAGGATGCGGGGGTTCACCAGTTCACTCCTGCGAGTCAGCGGGTGACCCACTGCACGGACGCACGCACAGGCCGGCACCTGGCCACGTTCTCGCGTCGGCCGGGGTCGAGCCTCTACACCCTGACCACTGAGTCTCCTCCTGTCCCTGCGTCCGGTCAGGTAGCAGCGTCAGGTCAGGTGTTTGCTGCTGCGTCCAGGTCTGGTCCTGAGTCTGCCCCCTGTTCGTGTCGCCTCCTGTCTCACGAGACTCTCCTGTGGCACCACCGTCTTGGCCACCCCTCCTTGCCCCGTCTTCGGGGCATGGCTTCCCGTGTCCTTGTCTCTGGTCTTCCCCAGTCTCTCCCTCCCCTTCCTTCGGGACCAGGACCTTCCTGTGTCCCCTGTGTCGAGGGGCGCCTCAGGGCTGCTCCTCACTCCTCCCAGTTTCCCCCGACAGAGGCTCCTCTGCAGACACTTCACATGGACGTGTGGGGCCCGGCCCCCGTCCGTGGGCAGGGTCACGAGCGCTACTTCCTGTTGGTGGTTGACGACTACTCGCGTTACACCACAGTCTTCCCCTTGCGCAGCAAGGGTGCTGTCACTGAGGTGCTGATCGACTGGATCCGCGAGGCTCGTCTCCAGCTCAGGAGGAGCTCCGGCTCGGACTTTCCTGTTCTGCGTCTGCACTCTGACCGAGGTGGGGAGTTCTCCTCTCGCCTTCTGCGAGACTACTGTCGTGCATAGGGGATCCGCCAGACCTTTACGCTTCCGGACTCTCCACAGAAAAATGGAATTGCTGAGCGCCGCATTGGCATGGTCATGGATGTCGCTCGTACGTCCATGATGCATGCGGCTGCCCCCCATTTTCTGTGGCCGTTTGCGGTTCGGTACGCGGCGCATCAGCTCAACCTTCACCCCAGGGTCTCTCGGCCCGCGATGTCCCCAGTGTTACTGTGGATGGGGAAGGTCGGCGATGCGTCTGCGTTCCGTGTCTGGGGATCTCGGGCGTTTGTCCGCGACTTGTCTGCGGACAAGCTGTCCCCCCGTGCTGCTCCCTGTGTCTTCCTTGGCTTCCCCCCTGACGCTCCAGGGTGGCAGTTCTACCACCCCTCCTCTCGTCATGTTCTGTCCTCCCAGGACGTCACGTTCGACGAGTCAGTCCCCTTCTACCGCCTCTTCCCCTACCGTACTCCTTCCCTCCCCCCCCCACCGGACTTCCTGGTGCCAGTTCCCCCCCCGGTAGACCCCCTCCCCCCTCAGGTTCCTGCCCCTTCAGGTGTGTCCCAGGTAGACACAGTCGAGCCAGTCGAGGTTGCTGCTGAGTCTGGTCCTGCTGCGGGTGCAGAGTCTGGGGGTGCTACGCCTGCGGGTGCTGAGCTTGGGGGTGCTGCTGCTGGGGGTGCGAGGCCGGGGGGTGCTGAGCTTGGGGGTGCTGCTGCTGGGGGAGCTGAGCCGGGGGGTGCTACATCAGGAGCTGCTGAGCCTGGGGGTGCTGAGCCTGGAGGTGCGGAGCCTGCGACTGCTGGACCTGGGGGCTCTCCGGTTGCTCCGTCTCGGCGGGAGCCGCTCTCTCCACAGGAGCTGCGCGAGTGGTTTGCTCGCCGCTGGAGGCGTGCTGCTGGAGCTGGAGCTCCTTCGACTGCTGAGGGTGCTGGTGCTGCCGGTCCCGGAGCTGCTGGGCCTGCGGGTCCTACTGGAGCTGGAGCTGCTGAGCCTCGGGGTGCTGAGTCTGGAGCTGCTGAGCCTGGGGGTGCTGAGTCTGGAGCTGCTAAGCCTGGGGGTGCTGAGTCTGGAGCTGCTGAGCCTGGGGGTGCTACGTCTGGAGCCGCTGAGCCTGGGGTTTCTCCTGGTGCTGCGTCTCGGCGGGAGCCCCTCTCTCCACAGGAGCTGCGCGAGTGGTTTGCTCGCCGCTGGAGGCGTACTGCTGGAGCTGGAGCTTCTTTGACCGTCGAGGGTGCTGGTGCCGCCGGTCCCGGAGGTGCTACGCCTGCGGGTCCTACTGGAGCTGGGGCTGCTGAGGGCGTTGGTGCTGAGTCTGCTGCTGTCTGTCCTGACGGTGGTTCTGCTGCTGGTGCTGCTGGAGGTACTGTCGCTGGAGGTGTTGGTGGCGCTGGTGCTGCCGCTGAGGGTGCTGGTGCTGTCCCTGCTGAGTCTGGAGCTGCCGCGCGGCCTCGGCCGTACTTCATTCCGCTTCTGCAGCAGGTTCTTGGTCTTTCTCCTCCGGTAGAGTGTCCACAGCCTGTCCAGTCGCAGTCACTGTTGGAGCCTACCTCCCCACTGCCTGCTCCCTCTCCTTACACTGGTCCTACTAGAGGTCTTGCTGAGCGTCGTGAGCCTGCGTCTCGTCCCGCGTCGCCCGTTCGTGCTGCCCGCGCTAGTGGTCGTGGTTCGCGTCCGCGTCCTCCTCCTATCCCTGGCATGCACCGGATGTCTCTGCGTCCTTCCACTGCTCCTCTGCGTGCCCTTTTGCCTTCTCCTCCTGAGTCCTCCCTTCCTGTGCTTAACGACCCAGAGTCGGACTCCCTTCGTGCTGCCAGTCCTACTGTCACGCGTCTGCTTGCTACTGTCGTCACTGACCCCTCTTTTGAGTCCGCTGCTGCGTCTGCTCTTGTCGCTGAGCTCGTCGACTTTGCTGCTCGCTGTCGTCTAGACTACGCTGCTAGTCTTGTTGCTGAGTCTGCGTCTGTCTGTCCTCCGTCCGTCGGGGGTGAGTGTGCTCTTGGCACGGACGTCCTAGAGGATAGGTAGGAGGAGTTCCAGTGTCTGGCTGCTGCTTCACCTCATCTCGCGTCTGTACTGCTTGCTCCTGAGGGAGACCCGGATGCACTAGACATCCCGACTCCGCGCTCTTACGCGGAGGCC